GCAATTTGATTAACATGATGAGAAAATACTGGATCTTGTTCATAATTCGTTTTGAAGCCTAAGTCCTGAAGAAAACGAAAATTAGTTTCATTCTTTTATATATCAACAAATTTCAATTACTAACTTGCAGTTTACGTTGAATGCTATTTTGTAGATGAAAAAAACAAACGGATATTATTGATCGATTTGTTGTTGTTACAAATTTATCACCGAATGCATTTATTGATGCAAGGTCGAAGTCCATCATTATAAATTTTGGACTCCATAATGGACAAATTTTTGATAATTTATCAATAAGGCGACGATAAGTTTGTTGAGTTTTGTTTGGTAATAATGCGAATACGACAGGTAAAACAACATTTCCATAAACCACGTGCATAGCGTATAATTGATAAAAAATCGATGGTGTTACCTAAAGAGTTTAATTTATTAAATAAAACTAAATAGCATCGGGAAAAATGTACAGACCTTGAAGGTTCCATCGACTAATAATTGTTCGCCACTTTCAAGAAATTGAAGTTGTTCAACTGATGCAAATATAATAATACGATCATTGTCTGGACCAGAATCAAATTGTAGAAACAAACTGTTTCGTTTTGTTGTTGTTAATTTGTCCGGAATTACATTAAATGTTTTATCATGTGGAATTTCGGGCAAATCTTTTTTTACTCGGTGATTTTGAATATTTCGTTAACATGCTTAAAATCAGGAAGACGAGCTACAGCATGATCAGATAAATTCGTGAGACAATAATCAATAACGTTTTGTGTAGCTTCGTTTGAGTTAAGTGCTTGATGACGAATTTTTTCTTCAAATATTCGAATTTCAGTTGAAACGGGATTACCAGGATGATTATGATTATCGTTTTCATGTAATAATGTTGTATGAGTACAGTTAATGTGAATTCGTCCTTTACGTTTAAATTTTCGAACATGTTCACATTTCCAATAAGTTTTATCATTAGTTGTTTTATCGATAGTATAAGCAAAACCTTTACAAATTAATAAAGGTTTGTTCTTTTCTGTTGTACTGAATGTAAATGTTCACATTTATGAAAAATAGTAGTGTTCCGTTTACATATATCAGCTTTTATATAATGTATTGGAGTATTTTAATCTAATCATTATTGGATCAAGTGAACTCTAGCTTATTGTGATAGATGTTATCAAAAAAATGATAAGCTTATTTGAAGCAATCTAAGCATATAACAATTCCCATATTTCAGACAAATATGTGCTATTTTTGATGAGTAATTTCTCTATGATGATCTGAAAATTCTTTTTTTTATCGTTTAACTTATTAGTATTAATTGCAAGTTTTACTTAGAAGATCCTTTTTTAAATTAAGCTCTAATTGTTTTTTATCCCTACGAATTTTTGTATCAACCAATGTTCATATCGGTCAATTATCGTATCGACCAATTTTCATTCGAGCAATTTTCGTAGACCCCATTCATTCATGGCTAGTGTCATTGTACATTGGGAAAAAAATAGCATCACACGGAATCATTTTTGAAACGAGTTCTAAACCCTCAAAAAGGTTTCTCGTACAAGCCCAAGATAGTCTCAAAATAATTATTAAGATTCCAGGAAACTTTATCGAAGGTTTTGTGGAAAACCTACGAAACCTAAAAAAGGTTCTGAATTCGTTCCAAAGTGCGAAACCCTTTTTAAGTTTCGTAGTATCTGCGAAACCATTTTAAAGTTCAGTGAGAAAATTCGAAACTTTCTTGGTTCCGTGTGGTGCTATTTTCCCTAGGCTGAAATGACCATTTTTATGACAGTACGGGCATTGTTACGGCACAAACCATGGGTTACTGCAGGGCGTGCTCACGGGAAACAGTCCGCTCTGGATATGTGGTCAGCGGAGGGAGCGAGCTGATCCTCCAACGGAACTTTTAGCTAACCATCACGATATTTCTGAACCCTGTATTTCTGTGGCTACGTAAGACTCAACCTCTCCGTCGTCTTAAGAGTCTTTGAGTCCCACTCTGTCCGTGTTTCATCTTCACTGTTAGTGCTCTTACTTGAAACCTTTAATTTTTGTCTAATTCTTACTTCAGTTTCACTTATTCCCATCCCGTTTACAGGTCTGTTCAAAAATATCACCACAAGTTACTGGCGCAAACAACCGATTTTCTGTCCTGTCCATGCATTTCTTCTTCTCAGCACTGTCAGCCTAGGGCCCAGTGAATCGACTTTCGATGTCGATGAACGTTACTTCTTTTTTTCAGTGTAGGGAAGCTTTGAGTATCTAACAATCATAAATGATGTGAGTGTTTTTGATAAATATTTTAAATCGAATAAAACTCAAAATAATAAATGTCTCTTCCTCGAAAATCAACCATAGGTTGTTATTCTTTGATATTCTCACTCGATATTATCATTATGAATAATTTTATTGACTTAAAACTGGTTGGTTGATGTAAAAAAATTGACGTATACATATGGTTTTCGTTCTGTTCGTCCCTATCTATTTGTCTCTTCTCTCTTAATGAATTATTTTTTTGTGTATAACCAATGGAAAACTTAATCAGTTAATTTCTGTGTAGTTTGTGCATACTTAACATACAACATCATGAGGAATAGATTGAGAAAAAAAATATAAGCAAAAAACCAAAACTAAAGAAAAAAAATGATCTGGAGAGTTATATTGGCTGCTATATTTTTTAAGAATTGATCTAATTGAGATGAGTCGAGGGAGCTGATCAGTCGAATTTTAATGTCAATTTTTAATTAGATAATATGAAAACGATCGGGCTTCGGAGCATGAGAGTGTGATATTAGTGCTGAGAGAAATGTGTTCAAGGATAAATTGGCATAACAACGATTTTTATTGATAAATGATTTTTATTTCAATTAATTGACTGATGTTCAAAAAGATCTTAGCTTGACAATCTTGATTCTGAGATCGAAGAATAAATTCCGTCGTTATTGTACGTTTTTTAGTATAGATGTAACCTTGGAGCATCATTAGTTTTTGTTTTATAAAAAACAGTTTTCCTGTTTGAGACATTTTTTTTGAGAAGTAGTGCGCATTGAAAGTTGAAATTGAGAAGTGAAATGTATTTTTTTATTTCACATGGTTCCATAGTTAAGAATCTCGGATCAGTGTTTTTTAGTTTAGATTACACTGAAATTCATGAAGCGAGCGACCATTTTGATTAGTCTTTATTAACTTTAGCACTATCACAATTAAATGAGAATACTATTTTTTATTGATCCTTTTACCGAATTAAAATTATATGCATTAGCACAATTAATTATCTATCGCTTTTGTATACATCTCTGGTAATTTTTCATTTAATTTATGCTATTTCCATTCGTTATACACAAAAAAAATAATTCATTAAGAGAGAAGAGACAAATAGATAGGGACGAACAGAACGAAAAAGAATTTTTCTGCGACGAAGCGATCGTGCGACGAAATGTCGTGCGACGATATGTGCTAGTGCCCCAGACCCACACCCACACCCTTTTCGTAAATCAACTAGTGGACACTTTTTGTTCGTACCGACTACTGCGTCCACCACAATCAAAGACATCTTATTCAATAAGCTTAAAAATTATTTATCCTGCCCCCCCCCCCAACAAAAAAACTTGATTGCGCCACTCACCCACATCCTTGTGTAGCATCCACGTTGGAAACGGGAAATTCTACTTGAGCCATATGCTTTCGGTAATTCTAGATCTCTGACCACTCCCAAATATTACCATGCCAAATGATTGCTCTTTACTATAATCTCTATGATTGAATAGATTTAAAGAAAGCTTTTAATACAGAAAATATGAAAAACCAACAGAGTTATTTTCATTCCAAAGAGAATAACGTAATTTCCAAGGGTTCCAAGAATATCAGTTTCGTAAAACTTGTCAGAGAGTCTGGCTGTTGAGTTTGTACCTATTTTGTCTGTTTTTTATTGGTTGAGGAGAAAACGAAAATTTTTCAGTGATTCGAGATTTCCAATGGTGCCTTTTCTTCCCTTCACTTGTTTTTTTTGTTGTTTGTTTTTTCCACTTTTTTATTATCACAAAATTTAGAAAAAGCCATTTACTTCTGCAGAATAGTTCTTCAAACGTATTTCTTACAGAGCTCGGTATTTATCTGTGTATTTATCCATTGAATTCAATATCGAATTTTTGTACTCGATGATGCGGGTTATCGGCGACATAGAGATTACCTTGTCGATCGAATGATAAACCTGAGGGCTCATTGAGTTGGTTCGATCGTCCTTCTCCACCGGTTCTACTCACAATGACACTTCCCTGTGTGGCTCCTTTGTGCCAGCGCATGATTCGAGCATTCCCCAAATCAGCCACATAGACAGTGCCCAATCGATCGACAACGACTCCTTCAGGATATGACAATTGTGTAAGATAATTTCCTTCTCCTTGACCACCAGCCACGACAACGCCTCCTTTGGCACCTTCCATCCATTTCGTCACACGATTATTTCCATATTCAGATACGTACACTGAATGATCTCGATCGACAAATACGTATGTTGGATCAGAGATCTGATCCAGACGATTTCCATCTCTATTACCGCCTGCAACCACTGTTCCTTGAGATTCTCCTTTTTGATATCGTCTCACTGCATCTTTTTCATTGTCAACGACATAGAGAGACCCATTCTCGTCCATTGTCAAACCTCGACAATCGATGTTCGAGATTATCGTTTCTTCATTTGTACCATTTCGAAGAGGCCATCGAACCACTCTTTTATTTGAACGGTCGGAGATGATGAGACTATCTCTCTCTTTGTCGACAATCACATCAAATGGTTGAGACAATTGATGAGCCCCACTTCCTTGCCCATTTCCACTGGCAACGACTTGGCCATTCGTCGCACCTGATTTCCATTCCACAATACGGTGATTATATTGATCAGCGACATAGACAGTTTGATCATCATCAACATACAAACCTAATGGGTATGAGAGTTGATTGGTTTCATTGCCGTCTCTATTTCCTCCAGCTACAGTGACACCATTTTGTTTCCATCGAGCATTTGGATGAATATCTATTGAATTGCCACGCACTGGAATGACTGAAAATTGGATCATTATAAAGGAGAGAAGAAAGTATTGTGTACAGGGATTAGTAGTAGAAGAGATACTCTCATTCATCTGATAAGTAAAACTAATACTGAGTGAAAACAAACAATCAGCTCATTACTTAAATACATATTTCTCTTGCTCGTTGTATTTCGTTAAATTTTTTCGTATCTTAGGGGCACTAGCATTCATTTAATATTACTTTATTTTTTCGAAACTATCATACATAGTTTCCAGAAAACAGAAGACAACTGTGTTCCGATTATTGGGCTTTCTATAGTGCTATATAATTGTTCTACTTCGTGCTGATTTTTTATCTAACAATCCTAATTGACAAATACAAAATGTGGGTGTTGAGTTAGGAGTATAAATATAAATCGAACATCTACATGCGCATTTATTCCATCATGAAAGGGTAGTCACAATTGAGCATTGAATTCTATCATAGTTCAATAGTAGATATCCGACAGGAACTGGTCAGTTTCTGTAGAAATCGATGTAGTAAATTCCAATCGGATTGCCGAAATAAATCTCATGTGTAGCTATGCAGTTAATTGATGGTAAAAGGTTCAGCTCTTAACTACGAATCCTTCGGCAGAAAAACTATATTTTACTCTAAAATGTTACAGCAGGTTTTTGCTTTTGTAATCGGAGACTCACGATAAACTAAAATGATATATATTTCAAGAAAACAAAAACAAGTAACACTAACTGAGAATCGATGCAACCGACCGTATACTGACGTACTAGATACTTATAAAGAATTGCACAAAAACATAGTAGTAGTAGTTAAGTAAAATGATCACTAAATAAAAGACTATAATAATGATAAGAAAAGCTTGCTGCTAGTTGTTTTCCAAACAAATATTCCGAATTCCTATTAGAAACTATTTTGACTTTCTCTAATATAAGAGGTGTAATTTCACCAATGAATCGAAAGACTTTTTCAATGTAGCAAACCTGTCTTTCAACTGTAAATTTTAGTTCTTTACGCCACAATTAAAATTGTATATAAGCAGTGATCATTCGATAAAAAAAAGATCTCAAATACGCAAGTGGATTCCAGTGAGTAAATAAAAATACGCACCCTATTAATTACTGAAACACGATAGAATAATTTCAACAAATACTTCATTTCTCATTCAAACTTGATGCTGTCAATATTAAGTGACTGGATTCGTTTGACGATATAAAAATTCAATAAATCAAATTAAAATTTTACTCCAAGTAATGTGAACCCATGAAATTCTCTCAAGAATAAAAGTTCTTATATGCTTTCGTTACAACATCTGACGTAAGAAATAACAATGATTCTATTCTCATATAGATTGGTACTCTCATTTTTATGGCAATAAAATAAATGAGTTTCTTACTTTTATTTGATGGCATACTGCGTTTCACATCAGACATCTGTAAGTACGAGATATTTTATAAAAACTCATCTCTTAATATAACTAATCACTTACTTTTTTGGTTACTGAAGTAATTTCTGTGTTTGCTTTTTGTGCGATAGCGACTGTGGTAGCTGTGCCAGTCTATGCATAAAATGAAATAGATGTACACACTGTAAAACTTTAAGAAATAGTTTGAATTACTCGTGATTTATTAGAGTCTGTCTCTTTGTTTTCTTTGGTTTTGCTAACAACAAACGTTGGTCACTCCGCTATATCTTAACACTAGTTTCTTACCGATGACTTATTCACCACAAACGAGAAATTGAAATAAATGACGTTTTGTTGTTGTAAAAAATTCTTACGACTTTCACCGTTTGCTTGTTCTTTGAATTTAGCTGACTGGCAATACTTTCTGTTCTGCTTCTGTCGAGCATGCCTCTCCTTTTTAATAGTTTAACAACACTTGAAAATGAGAAAATAAAAATAAGTCCTACTTCTATAAATTCGATGTGTAGATTCTTCAGTGTCAACAAACTAAGGTGTTTTTTAAAGAGATTTTGCATCTTTTTGAAATTTAAATTTTTTAGTCCAATATTTTCTTTGATTTAAGCACATCTTTTTTAAAATTGAGATTCAATTCAAGCGAACTTTCGATAGTATAATAACTACAGTATATTTCGTTTTTTATTATCATCAGATAGAAAAAGAAAATACATTTTAAAAGATCATAATCGATAAATAGGAATGGAGATCGTTTAGAATACAAAGCCCAATTAACAGTACTGTTTTTTTTCTGAAAAAGAAAATCTCGATTTAAAATTAATGCATCATGAAATTTCTTTTGAATTGTAATTTCGATGATTCGTTCTTTTTCTCGTAATTGAGTGAAACTCGAATATCATGTAGTTCCTTTCGGATGTCTTAATGATGAATTATCATGAGTCAAAAGGACTTCTCCATTCCGTTGTTATTAAGAAATTTATTCAAATTAAAAACAAAATTATATAGATGAATTCAGTAGTAGTAGCCATTTATTGTTTTGATCGTTAAAGCCTAAATGAAAAAAGTACTCCTGTTTTTCCAGCGCAATGTTACTTTCATCAGTAATAGAAATATTGCAAATCCTACCATGATTTTATTCAAATAAAATTATTAAAGTTCCCATGTAAACAATTTTCGTTATTTCATTTGGATCAAGTCCATCGTTAGATTGCTTGAATGCATCAAATATTTGATTGTTACATTGTTGACGATGGAATATATAATGCTCCAGTGTTTGTTGAGGATTTTCAACAACAGGACAATATCCAGAATAAATTCTTTTCGGCGACATTTTTAGAGCAAGCGTAAGAGAATTTAAATAATCATACAGATCTTCAAATTCTGTTGTTCCTTGGCCGAGTATGGTATTACCAGGAAATAGAGTTTGTTCTGCTTCAACCCAAAAACAAAGATGATCCGTAGTATGACCAGGTGTATGAATAGCTCTTCGATAGAAAAGAAAAGAACTCATCCCACATATATACAAAGCGAGCTACTTGAAATGTGCTCCTTCAGTTTCAAAACTAAATTGATCAATACCATTATTAATAAATGTAAAATTTCGCGACCTCATCACGATTTTCTGGCATACCATATGTTTGAAGTTTCTTCAAATTGAGCATTTCAATGAGTTTTCATTTAAAAACAGGTAAATCAACTAGAAAATTATCTATTGTTTCAAATGGTAATTACTTACGTTTATCAATCAATTTTAGAACATATTTAATACCATAAATATGATCGGGATGCCAATGTGTAATGAGAATCTCTTGTAATCCAATATTATTTTTCTTCATAGTATCTTTAAGTTCATCAATATAAACCGTAGCACCTTGGCCAGCATCAAATAAGAGTCGACTAAGAGTTTAAGAAAAATTCTTTTTTATTTGAAAATTCTTTACTTACATCCTTTGCCAATCAGATGTGCATTTGTACCTTGCAATGTCATCGGACTCGGATTACAAGCAACTACACGAAGAACTAAGGGTGAAAGTTGTTCAATAGTTTGAAGTTAAACAAGGTTCGTCGTCATGATTAAGTGAATTTTTTAATGATAGAAAAAAATAGAAATGTCAAATCAATTAAAATCTAATGACTACACATAACTGCGATCCTGTTCGAATTAGTTGAATCTTTGATTTTAGATTCAGATCGTATTCTGAACTTTTAACTTGCAATGCATCATGTTTTTCTTCGATTAGCTCTTTGTGTGTTTTATCAATCATTTCTATTGACCAATAATCATCCAATTTAAGGGTGTGGTTATGAACATTGCCGTTGAGACCAGCCCAGCCTATTTCATTACGCTTCCGTTGTTTTCCAATGATTACCGTGTATCAATGTTCGAGTCACAAATTATCTCAGTAATGACTAACAACATCTAAGATTTTGAATTTATTAAACACTCCTTTTTTTCCATTCATATCTGTCCTATCATTATCTCTATTCATTGTTGTTACGCTTGCAAAGATTTTGATAGAGATCTTCTGAGTGAAAATATTTCCAATGAATATAGTGAGTGTAAGTTTAAAAGCAAGATTTTTTGCGGCTCCCCTCCCCTATTACAGACATTAATGAGTTTAAAATTGTGCTAATTAGGAACTTGACTAATTAGACTGCTATTTCTTCATTTTTTAATTACAGACTACACGAAAAAAACAATGCTTGCTCATTACAGAGCATAGAAACTAGTCTCTGTCATTGTTAAATATACCAGCTAACAATCAGTACTCCATTACAGACATAAGCAAATAGGCAATGACCTAATTATGCGTTTGGAAATCAATGTAGATTTTTCAGATGAACTGTTCTGAATTATTTTAGTAAGCCTAAGGGATATATGTGAGTTACACATTTTAGCCTCAAAGGGGCTGCGCTAACATGCTCTTTTTAGTTAATCGGATTCTTTAAATTGTCTACTAAAGCTTGTTTCTATAGCTACAAGGAAAAAAAGAAGGAAGCTACTTAGGTCAAGGGGGGAACAGCAGAATCCATGACTCCATGAATCCACTTGAATCCACTTGAATCCACTTGAATCCACCCGAATCCACTCTAATATGAAATCCTTAGAATTATAAAAATATGATAGTTTTCATTTTCTTAATTCTCTGTTGAAAGTAGAGAAAAAAAC